ACTCTCTTCTTATTCCTGAGCTCCAGCCAGAGTTCACTGTTCAACCAAGCTTGTCTTCTTCCCATCGGCTGATCTTGCCGCACATCGGGACAGTGTGCTCCTGTGCCTTTAAGACTGCCTCCTTGAAGAGTGTCCAGCCTTCCTGGACCTCTTTCCCCTTCAAAACTGTTTCCCAAGGGACTCTCTCAACCAGCGCCTTGATCAGGCCAAAGTCAGCCCTCCGGAAGTCCAAGGTAGTTGTTTTGCTGTCCCCTCTCCTTACCTTACCAAAGGTTGAAAACTTTATCATTTCATGGTCGCTATGCCCAAGGTGGCCTCCAACCACCACATCTCCCACCAGTTCTTCTCTATTTGTAAAGAGCAGGTCCAGCGGGGCACCTCACCTGGTAGGCTCACTTACCAGTTGCATGAGGAAGTTATCTTCCCCACACTCCAAGAACCTCTTGGACTGTTTCCTTTTTGCTGTGTTGTATTTCCAGCAGACATCTGGTAAGTTGAAGTCTCCCACAAGAACAAGGGCCAGCGACTGTGAGACTTCCGCCAGCCGATTTCAAGAAAGCAGTTCATTTTAACTGCATGTTTCATGTTTGTATATGCAATGTATCTATTTTTTTCCAGAATGTGCAGTAATAACTAAAATAGCCTTTCCAATCCATTGGGGCTGACAATACATTATCGAATTAAATGATGTCACCTCCACTTGCATTCATTCAGAATGTCACTTCACTAATACAGTTCTGACCACATAACCTAGCTTCAGTAACTTCTTTTCTCCTATATTAAACAGGAGCTACTTTAGAGATTTTTTTTTTTTTAATAATTTATCTCCATAATTTCATCTCTCATTTGATAACAACTTAGAGGACTCCAACCTCACACTTCTTTGCTGTTATTTCCAAACAAGCCTCACACTTCTCTCTTTAGGATGCTCCTGCTAATGAAATATGACTCACCTTTATATCAAAGTTTCTCTTTTATGTTCACTGTTGTGTCAACAACAAAACCTGACAAGCAATTACTGATTTTGCAATTCATGTACTACCCCTGCTACTGATTGGTGCTATTAGCATCTATTTATCATCTTCTGGTTTCTGCTTGGCTTTTGAACTCTTTGGAACAGACTCTGTGTAACAGCCAGCATAGTAAGATTTTTGGTTCCAAGTACTAGCAAGGTGATGGTACTAAAAATAATTGCAAGTGTTTTACCTTCTGGCCAGTTAACTGCTCTCCATAAAGTCTGAAGTTGCTGTGCTGTAGGTGTTTCTGCAGAGGTGTTGCACATTGCAGACAATAACTTTTCTAGGATTATTAAGTCATCTTCTGTAAGCTTATGTTCTTCAGTTGCACTGCCATTAAGTTCCTTTAATTTGCCTGTAAGACAAATAGAAGAGGCATGGCTTCCTGACATTAGAACTTCACAAATTCAGACCTTGATTGAAATACTAGAAAACCACTTTACAAACAAGTTACAACTATTGTAATTGTTTTGGGGGGTTTTACATGTGTAAACATTACTTTTCCCAGTTTCATTGTTTTCTAATTTTAAGTTTTTAATCATCACAATGATTGCTACTATTAAGCCTCCTCTAATACTCTAACAGAAAGATTCAGAATTCACATCCTAGCCTACATCAAGGCAAAAATCAGAAAAGAATTGTACGATCATTAGTTTTCATAACTAAAATATGATTCCTTTTTTTGCTCTTGTCTATTATTAAGTAGTAGAAACAGTGAAGAAACTAAGTTCTTAGTGTGACCACAGTTTTTGTATTTTTACTTAAATAAGTGCCATAAGCAAAATATGATTGCACCATGTCCTATATTCAAACTTCAGTATAATTAAAAAATCAAATTATTGGAAAAAGTAACGTACAGCATTTTGCTGAAAATGGATATAGCATGAAGAACCTGCCAGTAATGGTTCTTCCAGAACTGATGAGGGCCATGTCAATAAACACACCAGCAGGCAACATTACATTAGTACACCCTTGCAAGTTTTATTGTAGGCAAAAAAATCAACTGTGGCCCTCTTCTGAAAAAGACCATAGAGCTATTAAATCTATCCCAGTCCAGTCATAATATTTACAAGTCTATTTAACCATGAACTGTTACAAAACTGCAGGAAAGTCAGTAAACCTAGTTTTCAGATTCTAAGCTTCAAAAAACCAAACAACCCACTAAGCCTGTGGCTAATATGGTCATCCTTCAAGAATATTAGACAAAAATAAACTGATGCAATATGTTTTTAAGACTAACTAAAAGTCTCTGCTTTGTTATAACACAGCAGAATAAAAGTCAGTCTTGCTGTTCTTGTTTTTAGGATGTTCTGGACAAAATTTTACTGTAAAAATCTGTGCAAAATTAAGAGGAGACTAAATCTATTTACTAGCTACAACCTCCAGAAAAAAATTTCTAGTTTGTGAATCCCTTATCTTCTCTCTGAACAAACAAATACCAGAGCACAAGAATATTTAGGGAAACAGAACAAGGCTGACTGAAGATTCTGACTGGTATTTTGAAACAGAAAGTGAAACCTGAAAAACATACAGAAGCGCAATACTGCAGACAGAAGGCCTCAGAGGGTCCCATAGAGACCTTGAGAGGTTTGAGAAGTCAGTCCATGCGAACGTCATGAAGTTCAACAAGGCCAAGTGCAAGGTCCTGCACCTGGGCTGGTGCAATCCCCAGCATCAGTACAGACTGAGCAATGAACACATTGAGAGCAGCCCAGAAGAGAAGGACCTGGGGATACTGGTGGTTTAAAAATTGGACCTGATGTGGCAATGCGTGCTTGCAGCTCAGAAAGCCAACTGTATCCTGGGCTGCATAAAAAGAAGTGTGGCCAGCAGGGTGAGGGAGGTGATTCTCCACTCTCCTGAGACCCCACCTGCAGTACTGCATCCAGCTCTGGGGTCCTCAGCACAGGAAAGACACGGACCTCCTGAAGCAGGTCCAGTGGAGGGCTAGAAAAATGATCAGAGGGCTGGAGCACCCATCCTGTAAAGAAAGGCCAAGAGATTTGGGGTTATTCAGCCCCAAGGAGAGAAGGCTCCGGGGTGACCTTATTGCAACATTTCAGTACTTATAGGGGGCTTATAAGAAAGATGGAAGGAGACTTTTTACTAGGGCCTGTAGTAACAGGACAAGAAGTAACAGTTTTAAACTGAAAGAAACACTGGAGCAGGTTGCTCAGAGAAGTTGCAGAAGCTCTATCCCTGGAAGTGTTTGTGGTAGGCTGGATGGGGCTTTCAGCAAGCTGACCTAGTGAAGATTTGTCTGCCCATGGCAGGAGGGCTGGACTGGATAACCTTTAAAGGTCCTTTCCAACCCAAACCACTCTATGATTCCATCACTGTAAGGCAAGGAGCTTGCCCTCTTCAAGAAGCTGGATAAAGGTGAAGGTGTACTTTTTCTAAAAAGGAAACTTAAGAGATTCTGCTTATCAGACTATCTAGACAACCACCTATTTTCAAGCTCTATATATAAAGGGAAGGAAAGAGAGAGAATTTTACTTTGGAGATCTTCAAGGCAAATACACTGTGAATACAAATTAGTTTTACAAAATCCTTAAATGTACTAAGGCACTCTAAAGAAACATACTGGAATAAACCGGTGACAAATAGGGTAGATATTCTGTAGAACATTTACAGAAAATATAGAGGAAGAGACAGTAGAATAGGAATGAAGCATGGGAAAAGATAGGGAAAAACAAGCCAGTAATAACATTTACCAGAAATGTCTTTACTAAATACTGTACACTGTGGTTCTTTTTCTGTTATACAGAGTGGTCTGCTTAAATACAGAAGTGACTGTTGCAACCTGTGAAATTGCAGAATGCCTTACTTTAAAGCTTCATGGATTACATTGTATGAGTTATCTGGTGAGCTAAAATTTTCATGAGCAAAGTCAGAGAGGGGTTGCACAGGACTTGCATACCCAGCAGGTAGGCGAAAAAACCCACAGTATTCAAATTTAACAGCTTGATAAAAAAAGATGCTGAACAACAGCAGATATAAGCCAAGGGGAGATAAAAACACAGATACCCTGTATTAGATAGAGTTCTTGTGAAATTTACTCATACTCCTAAGCCTTCAAATACATGTACCATTTAAGTAATGAATGCAATTTTAAAAGATCCAAACGAAGAAACCATAAGAAAGCTATAGGAAAACACTTAGCTTTTTGAAAAGATGAAAAGTGAAGTTACTTCAAACAGATGAAAAATAAAACCATCCTTGAAATTAAAACACTGACCCAGTATCTGTGTAGGATTGGCCTGGCCAAAGGTGACAGCATCCTTCTTCGGAAAATAAATATTTTTAACTTCAGCTGCTGATGATTGGTAGGCGCTCTTTCCTACGTAAAGGGAATACAAAAAGTTTAATAGTGTAACAAAGTGTCTAACATAGAACAATGTCCTACCGGTAAGTTCCTCCTTCTGGACATTACTCAGAAAAATATGTTCAAAAAAATTGACTGCTTATGCAAATAGTTGTCATTTCTTACATTATTTTTACATTCAAGGGTTAAAGCTTAAAGCAATACCTTCACAAACTGTTCTCTCCATGTAAAAATCTAATATACAAGTGTAAATTATTAACCGTGAGTTCTGAATTACATGAACTAAATACCATAGGAATGCGTATTGCAGTTAAGACGTGAAATGGCAAAGGTCATTTTAGAACAAAGATCCCTCCTGCTCTGAAATCTTACCTTTTGATTATTTCTATAATGAATAAGCAACTTTTCATATATTGGAAGATTTGCAGGTATGACCAAGTTATGTCACATGCAACAGTACCCTGAAGTCTCTTTGGAAAAAGAGTAATGAAAAGCTTTAATCATGACCTATAATGATTTCCTAAAATCACAACTGAATTACTGATCAATAGTGTGTAATTTCCATTAACTACATATATCAGTTTCTTTGATCAACAACATAACTAGTAGGAAACAAAAAGTCATCTCAAAAAAAGATTACTGTCCTATATTTTAAAGCTTCTGTGCACAATACCTGCATCTAAAGGAAGGCTCTGTTATTTTCTGAATAATTTCCAGAGTATAAGGAGCTTCAACCTGCTCATTTTTAATTAAGTATAAATTGGCATCAATATAGAATCCATGTCAAAGGGAAAATTCGAAGCAAAGTATCAAGGTTGCTTTTCGCGGGCGGGCATCATCTGTTACCTGTATATGGATCAACCCCACCCACTGGAGCTACTGCATTTGAGGCAGAACCAGGAACATAGCGACCAGCACCTGAACAGAGACAGGCTTTTTAAACACCACCATTAGTAAAGAGCTAATGTAGACTTGTATTTAGTTACTAGTTTTCAAACATCACTATTAAAGGTGTTATTTTGCACTAAAGGAATTAAAAAGAAGTCTTCAACACTTCCTGAAATTTAAGGATTAGATCTATGCCTACACATGAGGCTGGTGTTTGTGGTGATGATGACATTCACAAGCTAAGTAACCCACAGCTGGGAGACATTCTGGCACAGTCTCTGGCAGCCACTGGTGCAAAGGCCCTTAGCACAGCAGATACCTTATCCTTGACAAGCTCCAGGGGTGGGGCACCACTGCCCAGGCCTGGCCTCTCTCTGTGCCTGGGGCCAGCAGTAGCCTCTCCTGTGGGAGGTGGACTCTGTGGCACTGAGGCCTCAAGTCTCTGCAACTGCAGAGACCACAGCCTAAGCCACACAAAGCAAAGGAGGAGAGACAGCTGTAGACCACAGTAGAACAGGAACAGAGAAAGACTGTCAAGATGGGGAAGGCTGAAAGTTGTGGCTTTGGCAACAGCATGAAGGTTTCCACTCCACCTGTAGATCTGCAACTGCAGAACAGGCACAGTGCCCTGGCACTGGTGAATACAAACACCCAACAGGGGACGCATCAGAGCCAGCTGAGACTGCACCTTGCATCTGCAGAAAGGGGAAAGACAAGCGGTGGTGGGAGGCTTCCTCATGCAGGGTATGGAGGCACCCATCTACTAACATGACCTGATTATTGCGAGGCTGGTGTCTGCTGGGGGCCAGGACACTGTAGAGAGACTGCCAAGGCTTGCCTGGCCTTCAGACTATTACCCCGCTACTCCTCCACATGAATGTCAATGGTATTGCCAAAGAAGTCCTGGAGAGTATCAAGAGTGATTAGAAAGCTCTGGGGGTAAGGGTGAAGGACTCAGGTGCTGTTTCTTTGATGCTGACAGGAAAGCAAAAACACTTGGGTAGAAACAGACTCATCAAGTGGGTCAGCAATCCATTGCATGGCTAGTTTTGCAGGCAGGACTTTGGCATCAGTGACTACAAGACCCTCTCTTTCAGGAGCATGGGCCACCGATCAGGGATGGGATAAGTCTTGATAAAGCAGGGCTGGAATGTTGTTGCAAACAGGCTTGCTAAACTAGTGAGGAGGACTTTAAACTAGCTATGCCAGGGAGGGTTAGAGTCTAAAATTTAGGGCGGAAGGTAGCAATAAAGGTCATGTAATAAGAAAAAAAGGAATAAAGAAAAAAGAAAACTAATTTATGAATATACCCATTCCTGTGTTGGCCATGCATATGACTGTTTGACAAAACCTAAGGTTTAAGGCCTTACTCCTCTGCAGCAGAGGACAGAGTGACATGAAGCAAACCAGACAGCAGAGGGCTGTCCTCTACTAAACAGATCTGGACATGCTTTGACAGTGGCAGAAGCCACCTTGTCAGTCTGTCCCACACTACTGCCCCAAATGGAGAGCTGCACGAAACAGTGGTCTGGAGCAGAACACTGAATGCATCTGAACACGATAAAATACGCATCCAAATGCTAGCAAGACAGATTATGAATTTTACATGACCTGTAAATGGATCTGCTGCAGGTATTGTACTTGATCCAGATGACGAGCCTGGAACATAACGTCCAGCACCTAGGGAAACAGTAAGAAAAGCAATGACGACTACACACAGCTTGATGTTATTAAAGTGTCAGTACTCTTCAGACCAAAGCAGATCGAAAATAAAGCTAAACACCAAATGTGTCTTATTGTTTATTGTGGCATTATAAGAAGTCTGATCCTATGCACACAAAAGTCCCCTGATGCTGGACAAATTCTTCCTAATTATTTCAGGGTCGGAAATTTGTTTTCTGGGGCATATGCACTACACGCTTGGGCACAGCCAAATCACAAGTATGTGCGTAAATTCAGATGACTGCAGCTCCCTGAGTTACATCTGAACCTGATTAGCCTGTATTCTCATTTCTACTTAATTGTAAAAAAAAGATTTAGCTCAATGATTTTAATGACATTTTATTCCTAACTTCATCTTTGTGAAACTAGTTGAAGTAAGAGTGGTTTATTTTGTAAACGTGATAAGCAGGATGTAACTGATTAACAGAGTTCAGCTTATGAGTAAGAACTAGAATAAGTTTATATTTCCTGCCTGAAAAAGGGTTATTTATGTATTTCACTCAGTTTCAGTTCATTCTCTAGCTAGATTTTTGTACTGTATTAATTGCCTTATCAGCACCTGGCCACCTCTTAGAATAATACAAAAAGTGGAGTTTTCTTCCACTGGAAAGAAAGACTAGACTGAAAAATACAACTGGCTTGATTAAAATTTTGTTGAGGATTTGTTCTGACAAATACCTCAGAAGTGTGTCAAGTTCTCATATTTTTCTTGTCAGATCTATTTGTGTCTTGCCTTCAGTCGTTTGAGGACATGAAAGTCCTGTACAAGAAGTGCAGGAGTTACAACACTGAAGTCTGCCTGAGCAGACAGTGAGGTGGATTGAAAACTAACTGAACAGCCAGGCCCAGAGAGTGGTGATCAGTGGCACAACATCCAGTTGGAGGCCAGTACTGGTGATGTACCCCAGGGGTCAGTACTGTGTCCAGTCCTGTTCAGCATCCTCATTAATGATCTGGAAGATGAGTCTGAGTGCACCCTCCGCGAGTTTGCTGATGATGCAAAACTAGGATGAGTGACTGATGTCATCATTTAAGTTTAAAACTTTTACCTGTAAATGGATCTGAAAATTGAGCACTTGTACTCAACGGTGCTTGCCCCTTAGTGTTGTCCATAATAAACTTGGCCACCTGATCCAGAAACATAGGATTTAGATCATTCTTTTGCAGGAAGTTGTATGCAGTCAGCCAAGGATCATCAGCAATGTTATACGGCAGTCTGTAGGAAGGCCCACTTTCATTTACATCAATAGTGAAAACATAGTCATACTCCTTTAAGCAGAATAAAAATAAAAACAAATTAGAAGTTTGTCAGCACTTTTTACATAAGAATTTATCAAATGCAGACTAATAACAGCCCACAGCTAGGCCCAAAAACTTTAATAGTGCTACTTGCAGATTGTATCAGTAATACTCTCCTACAGAGGCTTCAAGTAAAACATACTTAAACCATACCCTGTGTTTTCCAGAATTCCTTGTCTAAAGGAGAGCAAGCTGGAACACATACCATGATAATGTATGTGCAGATATATTACAAAATAACATGCATCACGTAACTCTCATGGACAGCTCTGGCTGGCTGCAAAGCTATAGGGCAGTCAGATGCCTCGAAACCACTTCAGTCTTAAAAGCACACTTCTAATACTAGAAAACAACAAATTCCTAAGGTTTCTTTAAACCATGTGAGAGATAAAATTAGTATCTCGAAGGCATTCCTTCTACAGTGGCACTAGACAGAGACTTTTCTGTGTATATTTCAGTAAAGGAAACATTTCTCAGCTTATCTGTCCTTGGGTTGAAAAGTTACTACAGAAAAGGGGTACAAAAAGCCTGTTACCTAATATTTTAGGTAAGCATTATAAATTGTACAGTTCACTTCCTTTGGAAAGAAAGTTAAAACCAATTTTTCAAAGTATTAGCAATAAATAGAGAACATGATAGTTTCCCTACTAATATTCCCTACTAATAGTTTCTCCAAAATAATTTGTCTCCATTGGCTTGCTCGTTTTACAAAATGGGTTTCAAAAGTAATAAAGCAAGTAGTACTCATTTATACTTCTACCTCTGAGTTTTAGTAGATCAAAGACAATAAAAAAGTACCAACAACTACCTATTTTCTAAATTATATTTTATCTAAGCAAAGACTGGAATAAATTTTTAATAGGAAATTACACATTTTACTTAGGAAGGAGTAAAACCAGTTAAAGTTTGCATATACCTTTCCTTCAAATAAAACCTTTCCAGATGTTTGTTGTGTGGCTCCAGAAGAACCAACAACATCACCAATCTTTATCCATCTTCCTTCACTAACACTCCACTGATACGCTTCCACTTTCTCATCATCTTTAATAAGCCGTGTCTGTCCATCTCTTGTTCCTGTAGAGAGGAGTGTTTAAGAGTTTGAATAAATTAAAGAATACAATTTACTTCAGGAGAGAAAATAAAAAGTCTTCAAACAGCACTGAGATTTAAAGATGAAAAGATAGTTCACCAACATTTACAGTCACAGCACAGGAAGTAACTATATGTCACAAAAAGAATAGCAGAAATCTTGACAACAGCATTTTACAATTACAGTAATGGTATCTGCCACCAGACTAAGTTGCAAAAGCAATCCTTAAGTATTTCAAAAGTTTACCATTTTCCCAGGGAGATGACAATCAAGAAGGGTGATATTCTCCTATGGCCTAACAAGGTGGAAAGCTTCATATGATTGTAAGATTTATGCCACTTGCTGATCAGAGCCAAGGGCTGAGGTCACTGGTTACTTTGTCTTGGGAAAAAGTATTTGTCTATTTAAGAGTAATCTTAACTACCACTGCTTCCACTGTATTATCAGTAATCTCCCAAGCACCTGGAAAGCGTGAACTGAATCAATCAAGACAAACAATTTTTCAAGCTGAAAGTTAAACCAGAAAATTTGCATCTATTTTTCTTTTAGCAAAAAAATTCCATATTCAGTAGTCCTTTTGCAAATTATCTAACTGTCTAACTATCTAACCCCAGCTGGCAACTAAGTACCACACAGCCACTTGCTCACTTCTCCCCCTTGCCCCAGTGGGATGGGGGGAATTGGAAAAAGGTAAAACTCGTCAGTTAAACAGTTTAATAACTGAAATAAAGTACAATTAATACTACTACTAGTAACAAAAAGGGAGACAGCAAAGAGAGAGAGTAGAATAAAACCCCAGAAAAAACAAGTGATGTACAATGCAATTGCTCGCCACCCGCTGACCGATGCCCAGCCAATCCTCAAGCAGCGATCAGGCCCTCCCAGCCAACTCCCCCCAGCTTCTATACTGGGCACGACGTTCTACAGTATGGAATATCCCTTTGGCTAGTTCAGGTCAGCTGTCCTGGCTGTGCTCCTGCCCAGCTTCTTGTACACCTGCTTGCTGGCAGAGCATGGGAAACTGAAAAATCCTTAACTTATGATAAGAACTACTTAGCAACAACTAAAACATCACCGTGTTATCAACATCATTCTCACACTAAACCCAAAACACTCTGTATGAGCTATTATGCACAAAATTCACTCTATCCCAGCCAAAACCAGGACAGTGTCTTACATACTATTAGCACAGCTGGCATAACAGATGCAAAACATCTTGAACACCATGCAGCATCCTGAATTCCCCCTTTTTCTGAATTATCTCATAAGAGAAATATTTTTTACTATTTCAGTCTACAAAAATATAGAGTCTTGCCTCCAAAAGAATCAGTGAAAGGACAGTAGAGCAAAATTAAGCTGTTAATCTTCAGTGACTATTGAAAGTGATCAAAGCCTTAAATTTGGAAACAATGGAAAGTTTCAATACCTCAGAACCAAGATTTGGAGGCATCTCTAACATGACAAAAGTACAGTAACTTACCAGGATCCTTAAGATGTTCTTTTCCAGGAAGGTCATCAGCATTAATATCTCCTAAATCACCAGTTTTAGGGTCAATAGATACTTGGGAAAGCTCATTTTCAAAAGCTTGAATCTCCTCAGCACTTGCTGTACGTTCCAAAGACTCTGTAAACACTCTTATAATTCCATCACTGAATGGAGAGAATACATTCAAACAGAAATACCATTTTAAATGTCAAAATGATTACACACATTCTAATGATGACTTCTAAGTCATGATAAACCATCATTATTTCTAACAATTCCTCCCTGTTATTTTCATGAAAGGCATTCACTCATGCTAAAAACACCCAGAGAAGGACTTAAGCAGGTAACATTATCTATAGTGTAATTTTAAAATCAAGGTAGGATAAGCCTATCAAAATGGTTCTTTATACAATCCTTCCAAGTCCATTCTCAGTCTAGTCATGGTTTTCTACATTCCCAAAAAACTCACTCTACCTCTGTGATCCCCATAAAAATCCACTGTTTGGACAAAGTACAGCACACACATACACACTTTGTTGGTTGTATTTTTAAATATAGATGAAACTGATACCCAAAGTGATGCTTGCAATTTCATCAAGGGTTTGCAGATTTAGATCTAAAAAATACACCAAGAGTAAAACCTGGATACCTTGCACCAACTACGATGTCACCATTGTCTAACACACAGCAGCACCATACAGACTGAGCTGGGAGTCTGATTGTTTGAGCACATCCCCCTTGTTTCCAGATTCTAAGAGATCTGTCCTCTCCCGTAGTTACAAAATCTGAAAAGAAAAATAAATAAAACCTTTTAAAGTATATTTTAGTGTACTGTGATACTACATGCCATTCTGCAACTGGGTATCTAAAAATTAGAACAGTAAAAGAACCTTTCTACAATTTAATAGCTGTCTTCTTGCAACTGAGAGAAGTAAAAGAAAGCCATCGCATAGTTGTCTTCTCAAAAAAAAAAATAAAGTGCATAAATTGCAGACTAAGCAGCCCTACAGGGAATGAAATTATGCTGAAGACAAACAGAAGAATCCTTCCTCCTTTCAAGAGTTTAAACAAAATTTGAAGAATTTTGTAACTATCACTGTTTTATCTTACACTATACTTGCACAGTTTCATATTTGTTTTAAATTCAGACTTTTGCAAGGTAGGTCGCTTTTTCAGGAAACACACATAAAGCACTCTCAAGTCTATAAACTCCTCAGTGAGGAATTTTAAGGCATAAGAGATTTACAATATACGCATCCCCTAATATACAGGCGCTTTCACTGTTGAACAAAGGCACAACTGTCCCATATACCACACAAAGGTCACAGACTTGGAATTTCTTCTGCAAATGTCTGCAACACTTAATTCTGAACCTCTAAACCTATACCTCTGAAAACAAATGCCATTAAGACCTACACATAAAATTCTTAACCTAATTTATAATGCACTCTGAAAACTTCCTGTGGAAGTATCTAAATTTACATTATCTCAAACTGGTAAGCCATGCATTACCATCTTAGTACTCTGCAACAGTGCTGAAATACAGGTGACAAGGTAGATGATAGTTTTGCCTATCACTCTGCCAAAGTTTCACTTAAACCTTACAATTAGGCCTAACCCAGGACCTTTCATCTCACCTACTGTCAGAGCAATTTTGCAGGTGGCATGATTTGGAGTCAATCACTATCTTTTTTTTTTAATTATTCATGCTGAAGGAAAGAAGTAAATTAAATGCTACTCGAGTTCTTCAGTTGTGGCAGCTCCACAGAACTACAGAATGCCTACCTTGTCATTTCATTTTGGAAGAATGTTGGGTAGTCACAAAAGTAATCCTACCTTTACATTGAGGGAAGACAGAGATGCTGTATATATAATTTGTATGCCCATAATACACGTGTAGGCATTCGCCAGAGATCAGCCATCTTCGAACACTAGCATCATTAGCACAGGACAGGAATTCCATTTCACTGAGAATAGCTAAACCTCTCACACAGTCTTCGTGTCCTTTATAAAAAGAAAGGAAAACTTTTAATGTAGCTTTTCTTTCCATTAGCAGCAATATACCATTTCTATTTAACTCACATCTAAATCCTGGCAACCAATCTTCATTATGGGAGCAGTTTAAAAAAAGCAATTCATAGCTTATTATTCTCTGGAAAAAAAAATCTAATTCTTTTGAAAAGTGATGTGATTTCTGGGCACATAACTTAAGAGACTTTAAAAATCCTGCCTAAAAATTGTTCAATTTATCCACAGTTTGGGGGGGTGTGTGTGTGTTAATTTTTTTCTTCCCCCCCCACCCCCCCCCCCCCCAAAAAAAAAGTACTTCACTCTGATGAAATTATTAACTGCAGCAACATTTACCAGTGAATGTTCTTTCACATCTGCCTGCCTTCCACAGTTTAATAGTTTTGTCAGCTGAACCAGTCAACATTAATCCCTGTTCAGGCAGTATTTTCACTGCCCATATTGCAGCTGCGTGACCCTGCAAAAAAACAACAGTGTTAGACTTGTCAGAATCAAATTCAGAGTACCTATTATGTATTCATGTAGAGGAACTTCATACCTGTAATGTCATCATACATCTGTCATTCAACCAGACTTTGGCTGTTGTATCCCATGATCCACTTAATAATGTGCCAAATTTCCCAGATGAAAGGCTGCAAACTGGAATGAACATTTAAGTGATCACTGACAAATCTCCTGCATTGTCACCAATCTTATGTCAGCAATGTAAAGAGATTTATTTAAGGAAATTTACTTGGCATTAGCATATTTGGTGTTCAAGAGTTTGGGGAAGAATTAAGTGGAACTGTAGTTGCACTGCAACCTAGAAAGGAGCTGCTTAAAAAAATCTCTTCATTTTAGATTACAAAATATCACATCTTTTCGCCATTCATATTTTTAAATTTTTCTTAATACCAGATCTCTTGTCCTCAGACTAGAATAAGTTGACAAGCATGCTAGATAACTAATCAAGGCACAGAATTAATGTAAAAGTTTAGTTTTAAGATTACAGAGAAAGCCAAGATTTCATCAACATGTATTAATTTATGTCCTCAAGAAGCAAGACTTTCTACAAAAAAACTTAGCTTATGTTCTTGGAAGGCAAAATATTACTACCAAGAAATTGTGGTGACATTTAAAGATTTAGCAAAAAGAATCTGCAAATGCTCCAGTAATACACAGGTATAAAATTGAAGACACACAGTGCTAATAAGGTTTACCAAAAAGTTTACAAAAAGAGCTGTCATAAACAGATGGATATACCTTGTCCATCTAATCATTCATTCTGTTACTTGCTTCTGTGACTCCACGATGAGAACTGCACAGTATTCTACCCGTATCACTTGTCATGTTCTACTTTTTCCCCACTTTAAAACGGATTTTACAATTAATGTAATTTCACATATTTTAATGTAAAAATTGCTACAAATATTTTTTTTGGTAGGGGAATCTATAACTTGTCTAATATACCTCATCCCTTTTTACACCTCTGAAGAGAGCATGTCACATGTTATTTTAACTACTCATCATTCCCAGGTTTCTGATAAAGTACAGAAGCTATTCCATGCCTCCTTACAGAATGACATTATTTTCTTTCTTTCTCAGAGAAAGCAATGACATTTATAACACAAAAGTAAATTTTAGGTGCTGTTTGGCAGTCCAAGGTATTTTGAAACTGATCTCCACAACCATTCTTTAACATAGTTAAAAAAAGCCCCAAAACCTCCAAGACTTGAAATGTTTCTTTTTGACACTCTCTAATTACATGACTACACTGTCCAAATACTAGGTCAGCTCATGAAAAGAAAAACTTACTCTGCCAATATGAAAATTGCTGAATCTTTTATTGTATTGCTGTCCTGGTTTTGGCTGGGACAGAGTTAATTTTCTGCATAGTAGCTGGTACAGTGTGTTTTGGATTTAGTGTGAGAGTGATGTTGATAACACGGTGATGTTTTAGTTGTTGCTAAGTAGTTCTTATCGTAAGTTAAGGATTTTTCAGTTTCCCATGCTCTGCCAGCAAGCAGGTGTACAAGAAGCTGGGCAGGAGCACAGCCAGGACAGCTGACCTGAACTAGCCAAAGGGATATTCCATACTGTAGAACGTCGTGCCCAGTATAGAAACTGGGGGGAGTTGGCTGGGAGGGGCCAATCGCTGCCCGGCGATTGCTGCTCCAACATTGGTCAGTGGGTGGTGAGGAACTGCATTGTGCACCACTTGTCTTTTCTGGGGTTTTGTTCTTTCGTTATATTCCTTTTCATTACTATTATTATTATTGTTAGTATTTTATTTTAGTTTACTTTAGTTGAACTGTTCCTATCTCAGTCCACGAGGTTTCTTCTTTTTTTCCCCGATTTTTTCCACTGGGATGGGGAAAGAG